GTCGGTGTGGAGGTTTGGGGGGTCCCAGGAGCAGCAGGGGGGCTCGGAGGTGGTGTCGGTAAGCGGGGTCCCTGCTGCTTCTCTCAGGATCGGCGAGGCCGGAGCTTCCTGGGTTTGGGGCCTCTTCCTGCCAGCCCCCAGCCCTGCTCCGGGGCTCCCAGGGAGGCTCCAGACCTGGTTCAAGGTCCCTGCCCACGGCCTTTAGCTCCCGGTGAACCGAGCTGGGTTTGGCGGGTGGCTCACAGCCGTGGGGAGCTGGAGCAGGGACGTGGGGATGAGCCCAGCGTTGCCGCTGGAGCTCCCGCCTCCACTCACGGGCCTGAATCACCAGCTAAAGCTCAGCATACAAACACCATCTGGGTTCTAGCGAGACTTTATCCCTTTTATTTTTTTCTTTCTGCTGTCACGATGGCTGCTTGCTTTGGTCCTGGGTCTGCTGCTCGCTGTGGCTGGAGCAGGCAAAATAAAATAGAGTATAAAAACACTCCGGTAACTGCTCAGTAGCACAATATCCTCTGAATAGCTTCTGTTTTCCTGCGGCCGTTGCTGTGCTGCCTGCTCGGGGCTCCTCTCCTCTAGCAGGGGCTGACAGGCCCAGGTTTACCACGGGCAGGTCTTGTTTGAGCCACCCGGGGAACGTAACGAGCCCGTGTTCGTCTGCAGCTCGCTTTGCTTTAGCGCAGGATTCTGGATTCTACCTCCCCAATAGCAAAAGAGGGAGAAGGTGAAAATAATCCAGGAATCAAATAACATCTTACAGAGGTCTTGGCTTTTTTTCAGAGGTAGGGGAGAACAGGGAGGGCTCTGCTGTGTCCTGTCTCACCAGCCGTGACCTTGGAGTTGACACAACAGCACCAGCACCCGCGCGGGGACGTGATGCTCCCACAGCCGGCCAGGATTTGCTCCCACGGGGCCCTCGGTTACAGAGCAAGAGCCGGGACACGTTGGGCGAGCTGATGCTCTTGTAAATCCCCAAATCATCAGGTTTTTAGTTTCAAATGCCGCCTTTGAGCCAAGCTCTACACCCCAGGCCCTTCCTTTTACTGTCTTCAATTCCTCCCTTGGGTGAACTTCACCCCTGGGTGCTGATGAAAGGCTGTCCCTGGGGATGTTCACGCGGGAAGGGTCCCCGTCCCCTCCTCTCCCAGCTTTCCTGGGGAATTCCTCTCCACCGCTGGCAGCTCCGGCTCTGGCCGGGGTCACGCATTGAGCTCATTAACTCGGAGCTGCCCCAGTGGAAATTTACTGGCTGTGGCTGCTGTGCCAGAGCCAGCGCGGCTCCTGCTGCTGCCTCCTTATCTGCACCCAGCCCCGCGCCCGCTGCCAGCCCTCCCCGGCCACCACACCAGGGACACGAGAAGCACCAGCTCTGTCCGGCCGTGTCCGTGTGTCCCCGGTGCGTGCCGCAACCCAGCCCGCCGTGCAGGGTCAGGAGCGGCCCTGGGCTCTGATAATTCAGGTCAAACCTGGGGGGGAAAAAAAAAAAAAAAAGTGCCGCTTTGCACCGTGCCCAAGCACAAGCTGCTTTTAGGGTCGGGCTCATGGGGGACGCAGAGGTGACCCCGCAGCGTCCTCGCTGCCCCGGTTGGGTTTAAGGGATGCTTGAAAAGCGGTAAAAGCATCGTGGGGTTTTTCCTGTGCACCTTTCACTTGGGGCTTGTTTGCTGGAGGAAGTTCATTAGAATAATTTGTCCTTGACACGGTCCAGTGGAGCTGGTCCCTCTTGCAGAGCAGCTGCTGCACCTCCGCCGCCAAACCTGACCACCCCCAAATCACCCGTCTGGCCGTTTCCATCCATCCGTCTGTCCCTTTCCAGGCGTGGGTCTGTCCTTGGGCGCGGAGCACCCGGGGGGTGACGGCATCAGGGTGGGGAGGGGAGGACAAGGAGCCGCGAGCAGCTGGCGGGGGCTGAGATAACGAAACCTCCGAACCTGGGGAGTGTTTTAAACGAGGAGGGAAAAAACCCAAATGTGAAGGGAGGAAAATGTGGCCGGGGCTGTTTGTATCTGTAACACATAAATCTGGGGTTGCTTGTGTTGGCCTTGACCTGCTATGGGGGGGGGGGGGGGGGGGGGAAGGGGGGGGTCCTGCCTGTGTCCCCCCAACAGATGAACCTTTCCCAGTGCACGGAGCATCTCTGCCAGCAGCTCCAGCTCGTGCAGAATGAGGCCCTTGAACCTGCTTAGCACGAACCTTCCGGGGAGTTTGCGTCACCCCAACTCCCGCAATGGGGGGTCCCGGGGGAGGCGGGGGGGCGCTTTTGAGGTTTGAATGCCCGTCCCCGGAGGAGTGGGGAGGGAGAGGAGGGGGGATTGCTGGAAGAGAGGGGTGGGCACCATTGCTGGGGGAGCGGGCTGGTCGCTATGGCTCCGGGGCTCGCCTGGCCCCCCGCCAGCCCCCCCCCCCCCCCCCCCCGGCAGCTGGGGAGCGAAGGCGCTGGGCGGCCGGCCCGGGCTCCCGGCCCATGGCCGCGTTGGGCGAGCGGGAACAAGGGAGCCCCGCTCATGCGGTGCCGAGCGTGGGAGGAGTGGGAAGGGAGTGGGGGGAATGAACAATGGTGGGAGTTATGGGAGGGGGGCGAAAAAAAAAAAAAAAAAAAAAAAAAAAAAAAAAAGGAAAGCAATGGAAAAATACCAGTTCTGGGCCCCTGGCAGCGCTTGCCCGGACCCTCCCCGCCCCAGGATTATTGTACAAAGAAATGTTATTTTTGTTTCAATAATTTGCTGAGGCACTGGCATTCCAGTGCGGGGCTCGTTTTGTCCTCCAGCCCGGCACCAAGGGATCATTGTTCCTCCATGGCCGAGGGGCCCCGGCCCCACCGTGCCCAGCACCGCCGCCACCCCGCTCCCGGCAGGTGCCCCCCGGGCTTGGTCTTGGTGGGTCCCATCCTGCTCGGTGGCGGGAGGACGGGTGGCGATGCCAGCGTGTCCCCCCCCCCGTGAAGGCAGGGCCCCGGGTGGGTGGCAGCGACGCGGAGCTGAGCTGTCCTCGCCCCGTCTGCGGGGAGCGAGGGTGGGGAAGGGCCCGGGACCCGCCCGGGCGTTGCTCCTGCTCCGGGGGCTCCTTTGAAGCGGGGCCTGGCCATTGAAAGGCAACCGGGCCCCCGGGGGCCACCGAGCGGGGTGCCAGCCACGGCCCCCTCGCTGCTGCGCTTGCCCTTTCTCCGAGGCGGCCGGGAGTGTCCCCCCGGGGCAACCCCCACTGCGTTCCCGTGGCTGGGAAGTGGGGTGCAGCGGCACACGGGGCCCGGCTGCCCCCCGGCATCGCCGGCAGCGGCGACCCGGGATGGGGGGCTGGGGGGGGGGGGGGGGGGGCTGTGGGGTGCCACTGCCCAGGGCCTTTGGGGTGCCCATGCCCATGGGTTGTGGGGTGCCCATGCTGGGGGGTGCGGGGTGCTGGGGTGCTGGTGACAGGGGTTGTGGGGTGCCCATGCTGGGGGGTGCGGGGTGCCGGGGTGCTGGTGACAGGGGTTGTGGGGTGCCCATGCTGGGGGGTGCGGGGTGCCGGGGTGCTGGTGACAGGGGGTTGTGGGGTGCCCATGCTGGGGGGTGCGGGGTGCCGGGGTGCTGGTGACAGGGGGTTGTGGGGTGCCCATGCTGGGGGGTGCGGGGTGCCGGGGTGCTGGTGACAGGGGGTTGTGGGGTGCCCATGCTGGGGGGTGCGGGGTGCCGGGGTGCTGGTGACAGGGGGTTGTGGGGTGCCCATGCTGGGGGGTGCGAGGTGCTGGTGCTGTGACCTTTGGGGTGCCCTTGCTGGGGGGGTGCAGGGTGCTGGTGCCATGACCTTTGGGGTACCCGCACCGGAGGCTGCGGGGTGCCGGGGGCTGCAGGACACCCATCCCGGGATGCCGGGCCGGGGCTGGCAGCACCGTGGGAGCGGCACCGTGGGACGGAGCCCGTGGGACGGTGCCCGTGGGAAGGCGCAGAGCCCCGGCAGCGCAGGAAGCCGCCGGCCCGGGACACTCAATAGCCGGAAGGCGACAACGGGACCCCCGGTCCCGGCCCGGGCTCCGGCCCCGGCGCCACTTCCCCTTCCCGGGTCAGCGGCCGCTCCCGCCGCCCCCCCGCCCCGGCCCGGGCAGAGCCACCGGGGGGGCTCCGGGCCGCCCCGCACCTGCCGCGGGGCCGGGACCGGGGGTGACCCCGGTGGTGGTGGGGGGGGGGGGGGGGGTCGGGAGGGGGGTCGGACCCGGTGCCGGGGGGGGGCGGTGTAGCACGTGCGGGGGGGGTGGGGGGTCGCGCGGGGGCCGGTTGGGGGGGCGGGGCCGGCGGGGGGGGGGCGGGTCCTGGGAGCCGATTAAGCGGTGGGAGCCGGGGCGGCCGCAGCCGCGATCGCATCATCCCCCACGGGGCAGCACCGGCACCGGCACCGGCACCTCCAGCGCGCCCGGCCCGGCCCGGTGAGTGCCCGCGGGGAGGGCGGGGGGCGGCCCGGGAAGGGGTTTGGTCCTTCGGTCCCGGGGAGCGGGGGCGGCCCTGGGCCCGTGTCCGTGTCCCCCGCCCCCCCGTGCCCCCCGACACGCCGGGGCGGGCAGGGTCAGCCTTGGTCCCCGTGTCCCCCGGCACCCCTGGGAGCGGGGACACCCCCTGTCCCTGCGTTCCCTCTGCCCCCCCAGGGTGCGAGGACGCCCCCTGCTCCCACGTCCCCTGCACCCTCTGCCATCCCAAAGAGCGGGGACACCCCCTGTCCCCACGTCCCCTGCATCCCAAGGAGTGGCAACAGCCCTGTCCCCTTGTCCCCTGGCAGCATCCCAAAGTCCCCTACGCCCTCCTTGTGCCCCCTGCCACCCCCAGGGAGGGGACAGCAGGGACCCTGCACCCTCCCGGCTTTGCTGGACGCCCAGTGAGGTTCTGGGGCCGGGGTGTGGGGGGGCGGGACACGACACAACGAGGTGGGGGTGGGGAGGAGGCGGCGATCCGCCCCCCCTACTGTCCTGGGGTGGGGGGTAGCAGCCGGGGCACGCGTGGGAAGGGGTGGGGGTGGCAGCCCCACCGCCACTGCCAGACTGGGAGGCGATGGGGCAGGGAGCCAGCGGTCCCCACCGTAGGGAGCGATGCCCAGAGTTGCGTCCCGGCAGAGCGGCGGAGGCGGGGTGGGGGGGGGACCCGGGGGAGGGTTGGAGGGGGGGGGCCCTCAGCGTGCCAGGCCTGCGGGGCTGACACCCATTTCCTCCTATTCCAGCTTCAGGAACAATGGCAGAGACGTTCCTTGTGGAGAGCCCCGACGTCACGTACAGCAAAGACTTCATCGAGGCCAAGTACACGTACAGCACCGTGCACGTCTGCAAGGAGAACGGCGTCACCAAGGTACGGGCAGGGCGGGGGGTGGGGTGGGGGTGGGGGGGGCTCGGTGGTGGTTCTGCTCGTCCCCAAGTGTCCCCTGTCCCTGTCCCGCAGGTGCGGCCGTGCTCTACCCGCTTCACCTTCCGGACGGGGCGGCAGGTCCCTCGCCTGGGGGTGATGCTGGTGGGTTGGGGGGGTAACAACGGCACGACGGTGACGGCGGCCGTGCTGGCCAACAAGTTGGGGCTGTCCTGGATGACTAAGACGGGGCGCAAGGTGGGTGGCCCCCGAGGGACCCCGGCAAGGTCCCAGGACCCGGGTGTCGCGCAGGGATGGGGACGCGGAGCTCGGCTGCTCCCGTCTGCGCCTGGGTCCTGCGCCCTGATCTCTCCACCCTGTGGAGGTGGTCTGCAGCCCTGGCCCCCCCTGGTTTGGGGGTGCTGGGGACACCCCTGCCCCAATTCCAACAGCTCATCCCGGTGGTCTCCATCCTAGAAAGCCAACTACTACGGCTCCCTGCTCCAAGCTTCCACCGTCTGTCTGGGCACCGGCCCCACCGGTGACGTCTACGTGCCTTTCCGGGACCTGCTGCCCATGGTGCACCCCAATGACATCGTCTTCGACGGTAGGTGGGACACGGAGGGGGAAACCTCGCAATGGGGCGGGGGACCCTGAGCGGTTGAGTCACCCCTCATCCCCCAGGCTGGGACATCTCCTCGCTGAACCTGGCGGAGGCCATGCGGCGGGCGGAGGTGCTGGACTGGCCGCTGCAGGAGCAGCTCTGGCCCCACCTGGAGAAGATGAAGCCCCGACCCTCCATCTACATCCCCGAGTTCATCGCCGCCAACCAGGAGGAGCGGGCGGATAACGTCCTCCATGGGTCCATGGCTGAGCAGGTCCTGGTGGGGCAGTGAAGGGGGGGCGGGGGGGGGGGTCAGGGACACACACACAGGTGATGGAGGAGATGCCACCACGCTGATGTGTCCCCCTTGGTGGTGTCCCAGGTGGAGCAGATCCGCAGGGACATCCGGGACTTCAGGGAGAGCAGCGGGGTGGACAAAGTCATCGTCCTCTGGACGGCCAACACGGAGCGCTTCTGCGATGTCGTGCCGGGGCTCAACGACACCGCCGACAACCTGCTGCAGGCCATCGAGGTCAGGAGGGGACTGGGGAGGGAGGGTGACACCGGCGTCCTGCTAGTGCTGAGCCCACCCCCTGTCCCCGCAGCGAGGCCTGGATGTGTCCCCGTCCACGCTCTTCGCCGTGGCCAGCATCCTGGAGGGCTGTGCCTACATCAACGGCTCCCCCCAGAACACCTTCGTGCCGGGGGCGGTGGAACTGGCCGCCCAGCGCCGCGTCTTCATCTGCGGCGACGACTTCAAGTCGGGTCAAACCAAGCTCAAGTCGGTGCTGGTGGACTTCTTGGTGGGCGCCGGACTGAAGGTACGTGGGGACAGGGCGGGAGCTGTCTGGAGCGGGGTGGGGTGACAGGGGGGGTGACCTGCCTGCACCCCCTGCGCAGACCAAGTCCATTGTGAGCTACAACCACCTGGGGAACAACGATGGGAAGAACCTCTCGGCGCCGCAGCAGTTTCGCTCCAAGGAGATCTCCAAGAGCAACGTGGTGGATGACATGGTCCAGGCCAACCCCATCCTCTACGGCCCCCAGGACAAGCCTGACCACTGCGTGAGTTGGGGGTCAGGGTTGCGGGGGGGGAGGGACGACGACGACGACACACAGGGTGAGGATGGGGGTGACGGGGACGTCGCTTCGCAGGTGGTGATCAAGTACGTGCCCTACGTGGGGGACAGCAAACGGGCGCTGGACGAGTACACGTCGGAGATCATGATGGGCGGCACCAACACCATCGTCATCCACAACACGTGCGAGGTGCGTGGTGGGGAGGGGACACACACACACACAACCCGGGGTGTCCCCTCGGGGGGTGTCCCATCTCCAGGGGTGGCTTACGGCCCCTCGGTGCCTGCAGGACTCGCTGTTGGCCAGCCCCATCATCCTGGACCTGGCCATCCTCACGGAGCTGTGCCAGCGCGTCACCTTCTGCACCGAGGGTGACCCCGAGTTCCAGGGCTTCCACAGCGTCCTCTCCATCGTTGCCTTCCTCTGCAAGGCCCCACTGGTGCCCGAGGGCACCCCCGTCGTCAACGCCCTCTTCCGCCAGCGCAGCTGCATCGAGAACATCCTGAGGTACCCCCGGGCCCCCCCCCCCCCCCCCCTCCTGCTCAAGGGTGCCAGGTCCCACCCACCCCAGTGCCCGTGGTGGCCACCCAAGGCTTGTAGAGGTGGTTGACAGCCAACGGGCCAACACCAGTGGGTCCCAGTGCCTGGGGGTGCCCAGCACCCATGGGTGGGATGTCCCGAGCCAGTAGGTCCTGGTGCCCAACACCGGGTGGGGGGTGCTGGTGCTCAGTGCCTGTACCACCAGTGGGTCCCTGTGTCACCAGTGGGTCCCCGTGCCCAACACCGATGTGTCCCGGTGCGTGACGCACAGAGGCGATGGTCCCAGTGCCCGGTGGGCTCTGGTGCTGCCCAGTGCCGACAGGTGCCAGTATGGCTGGGTCCCCGGTGCCGTGGGTGCCCAGTGGGAGCAGATCCCAATGCCCAGGGGGGTCCTACACCAGTGGGTCCCAGTACCCAATGCCCACAGGGGTGCCCAACACCGATGCATCCCGGTCACCAAACAGGATGGGTCCCAGTGCCCAACGCGTGGGGGTTCCCAGTACCCGTGGGTCCCACTGCCCAGGGGCGTGCGCAACACCAGTGGGTCCCAGTTCCCAGTGGGTCCCAGTTGCCCAACATGATGGGTCCCAGTGCTCAACCCGTGGGGGCTCCCAGTTCCCGTGGGTCCCACTGCCCAGGGGTGCACCCAACACCCGAGGTGGGGGGGGGGGGGGGGTGTGTGTGCTGGTGGTGTTGGGGGTTGCCTGGTGCCACCACATCCCCCCCCTTCCCCGGTACTGGGGTGTGTGACCCCCTGTCCCCTTTTCTTTCTCCCCCCACCCCCCAGGGCCTGCCTGGGGCTGCCCCCCCAGAACCACATGCTGCTGGAGCACAAGATGCAGCGGCCGGCCCCCAGCCCGAAGCGCGCCTGTCCCGGGGGGGCCGCCTGCCCCCTCGCCCCCAAAAAAAACAACGGCGGCCACCCAGCTCAACGGGCACCCCTGCCCCGGCACCCCCCGGCCGGGACCCCCCCGGACCCCCCTCCATGTTGATGGGGCTAACAGCGGGTGACTTTTTGTATTTCCGATCAGCTTTTTAAGGGGGGGGGGGGGGGGAGTTGTGTGGGTGTGTGTGTGGGTGGATTTTGGGGGGCGGGGGGGGGGTGTCCACGACCTGCTGTTCCCCCCCTCCCCTTCCCCGAGCGCTCGGCGCTGCCTGGCTCCGACGCCAGCTCAAAACTGTGAAGCTTTGTACCCGCCAATAAACCCCGAGCACATCACGTTCACACCCCCCCCCCCACTCCCTGTCTCGTCTGGTTCCTGGGAGACACCCCCCCCCCGGTCCCCCCACCAGCCCCAGGGCGAAGTGAGAGCCAAAGGCCAGCACCTTCTGAAAAAAAAAAAAAAATCAAATTACATTTATTGATGAGGGGTGGATTTTTTTTTCTGGTATTTTTTTTTTTTTTTTTTTTTTTGTTTTGTTTTTTTTTTTGGGGGGGGGAGGGGTTCCCTGTTTTATTTTGATAAGTAACTGGGGCTCTAAAGGCTTTGAGGACTAGAAATGGGGTGGGGTGGGGTGTTCCCTACACAGAACAACTACGCCTAGGGCGTGGGCGCTACCCTTATGGGGGGGCTGGGGGCTGCCCCCCGCCTTGGTGGGGGGTTCTGATGGGGCCCCCCTGGCATGGGGCTGTACAGGGGAGGGGGCCTAGGTGCACAGCGGCAGTTTTGGGGAGGGGTGTGGGGTGTCAAGGGCAGGGGTTTGAGGTCCTTTCTGGTATAAAAGAGGGAAAAAAAAAAAAATCAGAAAAAAACACACACACGAAAAAAAAAAATTCCTTCATATTAAAGTTTTACAAGTGGTCCCCGGGGGGGGGGGGGGGGGCGAGGGGGGGGCCCCGGTCTGGCGCTCGGGGTGGGGGGCTGGGGATCACAGTGCTGGCTGAGCACGCAGACAGGGCTGGGGGGGCCGGGGACCCCCCCCTGGGGCCGGTTTGCTGCTGGGGGGGGCTGCTCTGCACTGGGGCCTGCCCTATAGAGCACTTGGGGGGGGGGGGGGGGGGGGTATGGCTTGGGCCCCCCCCCCATCCCCCCCAGCACAGCCTGGGGTACCCCTGGCTTTGAGGGGGTGGGGTGCTGAACCCACATTGCGGGGGGCTGTGCTGGCGGTAGGACCCCCCCGCCCCCCCCAGGGCTTTGGCAGGGCTGGGGGGGTTGGCTATGGACCCCCTCCCCCCCCCCCCCATGGGATTGGGAGGTGGGGGGGGGGGGCTGCCCAGCAGGGAGGGCACTGGGAGAACTGGGGGGCGCGGGGGGGGGGGAACATTGCTCATTAGCATGTGGGCTAATTGCAGTTAAGTGCATGTGTCCCATCCAGGCAGCATGCGGGGGGGGGGGGGGGCACAGTGCCATGAACAACCCCCCCCCCCAGTCTCCCTCCCCAAGCTTGGGGGGTGCTGGTCCCACCCAAGGAGGGGTGGGAAACACCTCTCAGCCCCCCCCAACATGAAGCCAGACCCCCCCCCCACCCCAGCGCTTGCCCCCACCCTGAGGGGAGGTGGGTTTGGGGGGGGGGGGGGGGGGGCTGTCCCCCAGTGCTGAGGTGGTCCCTGCCCCAGGGTGTGCGGGGGGGGGGGGGGGAGGGGTGGGTGGGCAGTAAATAAGTCACATGACTTATTTCTAGGTTTTTTGTGTTTTTTTTTTTTAGTGTTGTGGGAGGGGGGCGCTGGGGGCTGGGGCGAGGGAGGGGGGAGCTGTTGGTAATTATTATTAATTATTTTTTTCTCTGGTGTGTGTGGGCGTCCGGCTGTCGGTGCTGGGCTCACACGCTCATTGTCATGCTGGGCGAGTACTAGAGAGAATGGAGACACCGGAGGGTTAATTCGGGCGGGAGGGGGCACACACCACTGACCCCCCCCCCTCACCCCTCCCAGCCCCTTAGCCAAAGCAACACCCCCCCTCCTTCCTCCCCACTGCAATTTTGGGGGGTCTGCCCTGGGGACTTTGCTGTTGACACCCCCACCCCCCCCACATCCCCAACCACTGTGCCCACCCTCGTACCTCGCCCCCCCCCCCTTCACCTGCCCCCCCCCCCCCCGGGGTCCCTTACGCTGTCGCTTTGGAAGGGGTTTAAGAAATTGCTGCTCAGCTCGGCGTCGTCCCGCGGGGTGCCAGGGGGGTTGCTCAGGGCCCCCAAGTTACTGGGGGAGCTCTGGGATGGGGGGGGGGGGAGGAAGAAAAATGTTAGAGGGTGGGGGTGGGAAATGGTGCAGGGGTCCTGCTGTATTGGGGGGGGTCCCGGTTCATTGGGGTGTTCCCAAGAAATGTGGTCCCAGTGTATTGGGGGGGGCGCAGTAAATGGGGTTGCAGTACATGGGGGGGGGGAATCCTAGTGCATGGGGGGGGCCCAGTGTAAGGGTGGGGGGCCAGTAAATGGGGTCTCAGTACATGGCGGGGGATCCCAGTGCATGGGGGGGTCCCAGTATATGGGGGTTTCCAATAAATGGGGTCCCAGTACATGGGGGGGGGGATCCCAGTGCATGGGGGGTCCCAGTAAATGGAGTCCCAGTGCATGGGGGGGTGTCCCATTAAACGGAGTCTCAGTGAATTGAGGGGTGGGGGGGGCAATAAATGGGGTCCCAGGAGTAGGAGGGGGGGAATCCCAGTGCATAGGGGGGTGTGTCCCAGTGTATGGGGGGGGGTTTCCAATAAATGGGGTCCTAGTACATGGTGGGGATCCCAGTGTATGGGGGGGGCCCAGTAAATGGAATCCCAGTGCATGGGGGGGGGAGTAAATGGGGCCCCAGCACATGGGGGGGTTCCCAGCACACGGGGTTTCGGGGTCCCCACGCTCACCTTTGGCAGCCCGTCCATGTCCCCGGAGCCTGCAAGGACAGCAGCGCGTTAGTGACCCCCCCCCAGCCAAATCCATGTGTGTGTGTGTGTGTGTGTGTGTGTGTGTGTGTCCCAAATCCATGTGTGTGTGTGTGTGTGTGTCCCAAATCCGTGTGTGTGTGTGTGTGTGTGTCCCAAATCCGTGTGTGTGTGTGTGTGTGCGTGTGTGTCCCAAATCCGTGTGTGTGTGTGTGTGTCCCAAATCCATGTGTGTGTGTGTCCCCCAAATCCGTGTGTGTGTGTGTGTCCCAAATCCATGTGTGTGTGTGTGTGTGTGTGTGTGTGTGTCCCAAATCCATGTGTGTGTGTGTGTGTCCCCCAGCCGAAGCGGGGCCCTGCACGGAGCCCGGCTGCCCACAGATGGAGCTCACGGACCGCAGGATGCGGCCGCAGTGGCGCTGGGGACCATCAGGTCCTCGGGACACACACACACACACACACACACACACACACATCCCCCCCACTCCGCCCTGGCCGTGGGGGGTGGGGGGGGCTGGTTTTGAAGGCGGGGGGGTGGTACCCACCTAAGGATCCGTTCATGTGATGCGGCTCCATCGCGCTCATGCCACCCATGGGCCCCTCGGGTCCAGGCCCCATTGGGAACTGGAATGGAAAGGGGGGGGGGGATTTAGGCGGCAGGGGGGGGATGTGAAAGATGTGGGGACACCCCCCCTGCCCAAACCACCCCCCCATCCCCATCCCCACCACTCACATTCGGCCGGTTCCCCGCGGGCCCGATGGGGTTCATCATGGTGTACATGTTCTCACTGGAGTTGGTGGAGTCTGGCGGGGGGGGGGGGGGGGGGGGGGGGGGATGACACACAGCGTGTTGGGGGGTGAGCACGGCACCCCAAATTCCTCCCCCCGCCCCCCAACACCCCCACCCATCACACCTCATCCCATCCCACTCCCTGCAGACACTCACCTCCGGGGCTGGGCAGGATGGGGGTGCCGGGGGGACCCCCACCCCCGGGAGGACCCTGGGGGGGGGAGAGGAGGGAGGTGGGTTGGGGGGGAGCCCACAGCGGGTTTGCCTGCAGCATGGCCCCCCCCCCTACCCTCCAAGTGCCCCCCGATACTCACCACATAGTTCCCAGGGGACGAGGAGGAGTAGGCGATCTGGGGGGGGGGGGGGGGAGGGGGAGGGGGGAAAAGGGGGGGGCAGCATGGGGGGGGGGGGCATGGGGTCAGCATTCCCATGGCCCCAGTTTCACCCCCCCCAAAGTATTCTGCCCCCCCTGACTTACAGAGTTGGTGTTGGGGTTCGGCCAGGGCCCGCGGCCGCCGGGGCCCCTGGAAGGCAACAGGGAGAGGTGAGTCGGGGGGGGGGGGGGGCGGGTCCCTGACAGTCCCTGGGGCCCCCCCACCCTGCGTGACCACCCAGCTCCCCCTGCCCAGCCCCGGGGGGCGGGGGCGGTGCCTTACATGTTCATGGCAGGTATGCCAGGGCCGGCCAGCGAGCTGGGGGGGGGGCCGCATCCCGCTGCCGTAGGTCTGTGGGGAGAGCAGGGGGTCAGCCCCGGCCCTGTCCCCGTGTCCCCCCCACCCCGTCCCCCCCATCTCCATCCCTGTCTCCCTGTTCCCGTTTCTGTCCCCATCCCTGTCCCCATGTCCCCATCCCTGTCCCCATCCCCAACCCCACCACTCACCCCATTCCCACCCCCATCCACGGCCCCCGTCCCTGTCTCCCTGTTCCCGTGTCCCCAGGCCCGTCCCCGAGCCCCATCCCTGTCCCCCGTCCCTGTCTCTGTCCCCAGTCCCATCCCCAACCCCATCCCCCTCCCCATTCCCAGCCCCAGTCCCTGTCCCCCTGTCCCCAACCCCATCACCCATCCCCATCTGTCCCCAGCCCCATCCCTGTCCTGATCCCCATCCCCACCTCCCACTTCCCAGTCCCATCCCTGTCCCCAACCCCATCCCCGTCCCTGTCTCTCTGTCCCCAGTCCCATCCCTGCCCCAGTCCCTGTCCCCAACCCCATCCTCATCCCTATCCCCCCTTTTCCCATCCCCATCCCTGTCCCCCCCCCCCCCGCCGTTTCCCCCTCACCTGGGGGGCCATGCCAGCCATGCCTCGCGGGGGGTTCATGCGCTGCATCGGGCCCCCCATACCGGGATGCCCTGCGCAAAGGAAGGGGGACAGGGAGGGGTGAGACCCCCGCAGCACCCCACCACCACCACCCCACGGACTGGGGTGGGGGGGGACACAGACAGACAGACACACAGGGACAGGGACCCCCCCCCCTCAACTCACCCTGTGACCGCGCGGCCGGATCCATGGCACTGGGCAGCAGCGGCTGGGAGCCAGGGACACCCACGGGAGGCTGTGGATTTGGGGGGGGGGTACATACAACACAGACGGTGGGTCAGGGTGCTGTGGGACCCCACCCCCCCACAAACCCTGCAAAGGGGTCTGCACCCACTTTGGCAGGGGGGGTCCCATCCGTGCCCACCTCACCTGGTTCGGCATCCGGAGCGGGGGCCGGGGGCCGCCGGGGTAACGGGGGGACATGAAGGGCTGCAAGAGAGGGAGTGGGGAGGGGGGGGGTGAGCCAGGGCTGGGGGGGAGGGGGGGGGCTGCTATATCACCCTGTGTGGGGGGGGCTGGGGGGGCTGGGACACTCCTGCGGGCGCTGGGGGGGGGGGGGGGGGCGGGGGGGGGCAGCCTTACCTGGCTGTGCGGCCCCAGCATGGGGGCCCCGGGGTTGGGGGGCGGAGGTTGGGCGTGGGGTGATGGCTGAGAGCCCGCAGGTCCCTTCAAGAGAAATAAAACACGGTTATGGGCCACTGGGGGGGGGGGGGGGGCAGCAGCCCCCAGGGTGGGGGCACCCCGCTATGGGGTGGGGAGATTGGGCTGGCTCCGGTATGGGGTGGGGGCAGCACTGGGGGTGTGGGGGCAGCACTGTGGGGTGGGGGGGGTGAATGTGCCGTGGAGGGAGGGGAGGGGGCCCTGGCTTGTCTAACACCCCCCCCCCCCACTGCTCCACGCACACACGGGGCTCAGGCATGTGCACACACTAAGGACACACACGCCTGCACATGGCGTGGGGAGCACAAACCCCCAGCACTGTGCACAGGAGCACGGCGGGGGGGGCGGTGTGTGTGTGTGTCACGCGTGTGCGCTCCCACAGGCGTGCGTGCACACACACACACGCGCACTCACACACACTCACACACGTGCAGTGCCCGCGCGCACACGCACAGGGCTCTGGGAGGACACGTGTGCGCGCTCCCGCCCCACGCTGTGGCCACGTAACACGCGTGCGCCCATCCACGCGCACGCGTGTCCACTCGCTCACACACGCGCACACACTCACGCACAAGCAAGTGTAGGCTCGCGCACACACGTGCACTCACACACACGCACACGCGTGCAAAAGTACCCCCAGCAGGATGACACCCCTGGGACCACTGAGCCCCCCCTTCTTGTCCTTTCCCCCCCCCAGCTTTGTGTCCCCGCTCTCAGCAGGTGGGTGGGGGCACACAGCCCCAAAACGGGGTGCAGGCAGGCTGGTACCTGAAAGAAAGCGGGGGGCATGGGCCCCCCCGGCATGCCGTCACCGGGGGGCAGGTTCCCCATCACCGGACTGGGAGCCGCCGCCGCGCTCTGTGGGGAAAGGAGAGCTCAGCGCTGGGGGGGGAGGGAGGCGTGGGGGGGGGTCCCCCCAGAACAACCCCCTCCCCCCAGTCACCCCACGGAGGAGCAGGCAGTGCCAGATCCATCCTCTGCACCCCGGTATACTGGTGTCGTGGCACTGGGGCGGGAGGGACACACACACACACACACACACACACTGGGGTGCCCCCTCCCCCCCCCCCCCCCCCCCAAAGCCACCGATAGCCCCACGCGGCGTGGGAGCCGGTCGGCGAGCTCGCCCTGCGCGAGCAAGAGGGCAGCACGGGGAGAACCCGGCACACCGCCCTCCCAGCCAAAACTGGGGGGGCCTGGGGGGGTGCGGCTGGCCCTGGGGGGACCCCAAAGGGGCCAGCTGGGCCGGGAGGGGGGGATGGGGGGGGGGGGGGCACAGGCAGGGGGGCCCCAGCCCCATTCGCCTGCCGGCCCCGTCCGAGGGGAGCTGTTAAGGGAAGGAATGTGCCGGCTTTCCGGCTCGGCCCCTCCGCCACAACTGGTTTCAATTTGTAGGGGAGGAGGAGGAGGAAGGAGGGGGGGACCTCGCGCTGCCCCCTCCACCCCGGGGGGCCCCCCGCCACCCCACGGGCCTCCCCTCCAGCCTGCTGCCAGCCCTGCGGGGGGGGGGGGGGGCCCCGGCTGCAGTTGGGGTGGGGATCACCCACTGATGGGTGACGGGGGGGTCAGGGCACCCGTGGGTGTTGCTGGTGTGGAAATGGGGATCGGGGTGGGGGGGGTGGTTGGGGAGGGTGAGACCCTGGGGGCTCCCATGGTGGGCACGGGGGTCACACTACCTACATGGGTCATGCCTGGGACACGGGTGACAGCAGGCACACAGGTGACGGTGCCCAGGGGCACCCAACTGGGGGGGTCCCTGCCCCATGGCATGGCCATACTAGGGGGGGGTGAGGCTGGGGGCGGGGGGGGGGGGTCCCAGGGCCCTCAGCTTCATTTACCAGCTGCAGGATCGGGCCCCAGGGATCATTTGCAAGACAATGGGAGTCTGTGCCGGCAGCCAAAACCAACAGCCCCGGGGGGGGGCGGGGGGGAGGACACCCACTGGGAGGGTCTGGGGGGGCCAGGCGTTTCCCCCCCCCCAATCCCAAAACCACCCTGTTAACCCCTCGGCCCCTGTTGTGGTATGGGATGGTGCCCCCACCCCACCCATCTGGGCCCTGGGGTTGGGGTGAAGTGTGGGGGGCCCCAGCGGGGTGGGGACACCTCGGGGGTGTTTTGGGGGGCTGGGGGGTGTCACAAGGCTTGTGTGCCCAGCATGGAGCCCATCAGGGAGCCGTCACGGATCCCACCATGGTCCCACCACAGCGCCCACCATGGTGGCCAAGACACGGATGGTTCCATCACGGAACCATCATGGAGCTCGTCACGGAGCTCCCCGTGATCCCACCACAGTCCCACCACACAGCCCAGCACAGCGCTCATCACGGAGCCCATCCTGAAGCCCCCACAGAGCCCACCACGGTCCCACCACAGCGCCCACCATGGTGCCCATCCTGGAGCCACCACAGAGCCTTCATGGAGCTCACCGTGGGCCCACCACATGGCCCACCACATGGCCCAGCACAGAAGCTCCACGGAGCTCATCATGGAGTCATCACAGAGCCACCACAGTGACCAACCCAGAGCCATCACGGAGCTCACCACGGTGCCCAACACAGAGCTGACACGGAACCATCATGGAGACCACCATGGTCCCACCACAGCGCCCACCATGGTGCCCATCCTGGAGCCACCCCGGAACCATCATGGAGCTCATCATGGAGTCATCACAGAGCCATGATGGTGACCAACACGGAGGCATCATGGAGCTCGCCGTGATCCCACCGCAGTCCCACCACACAGCCCAGCGCAGCGCTCATCATGGAGCCCATCATGAAGCCACCACAGAGCCCACCACGGTGCCCAACACAGAACCATCACGGAACCATCGTGGAGCCCACCATGGTCCCACCACAGCGCCCACCATGGTGTCCATCCTGGAGCCATCACGGAACCATCACGGAACCATCACGGAACCATCATGGAACCCACCATGGTCCCACCATGGTGCCCACCCACCCTGGCACAGGAGACCGGTCCCCGGCCAGGTCTGTCCCCATCACCTGGGGGCACCGGGAGGGGCAAAGGCAGCGGTGTCACCTCCCCGGCCACGGGGCCAATACAGCAGCACTGCCCCAGAGTGAGGGGGACACAGGCCCTGCCCCCCACCTTGGGGACCCCCCCCCCACTCTCCTGCCCCATGGCTCAGGGACAGTCCTTGACCCCCCAGCCCAGAGTGGGGCCCCCAGTGCCAGCCCCACAAGCGGGATGGTGCTGTGTCCGTCCCCCCCCGCCCCGCCTCCACCACAGGCAGGGACTGAACTGGACGGACCCCCCCCCCCCCATCACTCAGTGATGCAAAGCAGAGTTGCCATGGCAACAGGTTGGAGAGTTTTGGCTCCTCCCACAGGCTCAAGGTCAGGAGGGAGAAAATGGGGGGGGGGGGGGACACACAGGGGGGGTCCCCACAATGCTGCACCCCGGGGAGGGGGGGACACCCAAGACCCCGCTCCTCCCCACTGCCATGCACAGGCCAGACCCCCCCCCCTCCCAGTGATGTGGGGTCACTGTTCCCACAATGCTTATGGCGTGGGGTGGGGGGGGGGATCCCCAATGTGCTGACCCCCCCCCCCCAGCACCCATGGGAGCAGGCGAGGGGCACCCACTCCACGCCAGGGAGCCCTGACTCACCCCCGTGGGTACCAGTTTGGCCACAGCACCCAGCGGACACTGGGATGGGGCTGTGGCCATGCTGGGGATCCCCTGGGGTACAGTGGAGGGGGGGGCGGGGGGGGCGGGGGGGGCCCCCCCCCCCAAAATCCAAACACACACACATACACACACACACCCCCCCCCCGCGCCCCGGCTCTGCCTGCCAAGCAGCAGCGCCATGGCAACGCGGCCTGACCCGCGCCGCGTCCCCGGCGTCACCGCACCGGCAGCCTCATTAATTCCGGCATGAAAATCAGCTCTGCGCAGCGCCGGGGGGGGAGTGGGGGGGGCCTGGGGGGGGAGTGGGGGGGGCCGGGGGCAGCGAGAAAGGGGGGGGGGGGGGAGGTGAGGGGGTGATGTGTTCTGGGGGTGAGGGGTGTTCTGGGGGGGGAGGTGTGTGTGTACTCTAGGGGTGAAGGGGGGGATATTGTGGGGGTGGGGGGGTGTTCTGGGGGTGAGGGGGGGTTGTATGTTCTGGGGGGAAGGTGGGGGGTGTGTGTGTGTTCTGGGGGTGAGGGGGGGGCCCCCCTGCTGCAGCCCCCCGCGGTGCTGGCGCAGGCACACACGCGCCCACGGGGACCCGAGGGCAGCGTGCTCACCCCCCCACACCCCACACCCACCCCCACTAAGCTGTGGGGTGCTGAGCACCCAGGGTGGGTGGGGGGGGGGGGGAGGTGCAGGGAGCAGTTCTGGCCCCCCCTCCAGCAGGATTGGGGGGATGGAAGGGGGGCAACGTGTCCCCTCCATGGGCTCCTGTTCCCCCCCCCTCCCAGCATCCCACAGCACTGGGGACCCCGCAACATCCTGTGACCCCCAGCAAACCCCCCCCAAGGAAAACCCCCCCTTGCCTGCATCCCCCCAGCACCCCCCCACAGATTAAACATGTCCCCCTCCCCCAGCACCACGCGTCCCCCAGCACCCCACAGCCTCCTGCACCCCACCTCCTACAGCCCCACATTCCCCCCCCCCCCAGCACACAGTATCCCAGCCCCCCCAGCGGGTCCCCACCCCCCCCAGCACCCCCGTTCCCCTCCTGACACCCCCTGTGTGTCTGTCGTCCCCCCCCTGCCCGCCAGGATCGGGCCCACACCGGGCTGTTGACTCTGTGCCAATGATTAACTCCACGCCGATAAGGAGCAGAGCTGCCGGTGGCAGGGGGGGGGTCCCACTGAGCCCCAGGACAGCAGTGACCCCCAGAGCACTGGGCGAGCAAGTGGACACACACACCACCCGCCCCCCCAACCCCACTACGGGGCCCCCCCCAATTGGGAAGCGAGGCCCCGTTACTTTGCTGACACCAGGACACACACACACACACACACACACACACACACACGGGGCTGGATCTCGGGGTCCCCGTCCCCCAAAATGGGGTCGGTGGCGGGGGGATGGGCACGTTGGGGTCACTTGGAGGGGGGGGCTGCTGTAGGGTGTGGGGGTGCTGAGCCAGGCCCCCAGGGATTACCCCCCCCCCCCCCTCCCCACGTCGCCCTGCAAAATAGGTCACGCGTGGCTGGCAGAGCCGGTGTTAACCCTCAGCCCGCCGGCGTCCTCAGCACGGGGGGGGGGGGGAAAGGGGGAGCAGAGGGGGTGTGTGTGTGTATTGGGGGGGGACACAGACACCCCCCCCCAGACGCCCCCCAGCACCGCAGTACTCACGTAGTCGTGGAAGGCTTTGGCCTCGCTGGAGTGCTCACAGGTTTCCCGGCGGTCAGGAGCGGCGCAGTACAGGTCCCAGAAGACACTGAGGGGGGGGGGGTCGTGGAGGAGGGGGGGGGGAACACACACACACATACACACCAGCGGGTCAGAATCCCCCCCCCCCAACATTGCCATGGCCTGCTGTGCCCTGGGGCACATCCCCCCCCCAGCTGAGCCCAGCCACACTCGTGACACCGATGGCTGGTGGAAGTTTGGTGAAGGGGGGGGTGGTGTGTGGAGTGGTGGAAGAGGGGGGGCCCTGTGTGTGTGTGTGTGTGTGTGTGTGTGTGTCCCATCATGGCGGGGGCCTCCCGGCTCTGCCGCTGCTGCCTGTTTTCCCTGGAAACGGTCGCTACGGCCGGAGCCCAAATTCCTGGGACTTTACATCAGGCTGCAGCATCCCAGGGTGGGATGGGGGGGGGGGGGTGGGGAGGGAGGGCGGGGGGTCCTGCTGCCTTGCCCCCCCCCCCCCCCACGGTGCTAGGGATGGGACAGTGGGGGGGGCCATGGTACATGTCATGGGGGGGTGTGTGTATCCCCCAGCACTATTTCTGGGTGCCCCCCCCCCCAGATTTCAGGTGTGGTGGTCGGGTGTTGGCAGCTGGAGGGTTAAAAGCCTGGAAAGTGCCGTGCCCCCCCCCCCTTTTTGTGTCCTGTCTGTCTGTCCGTCCCCCCCCCCATAAATCACCAATTAATCGTTTATTGGAAATGGCTAAATGCAGCGGCACCGCGGCGCCCGGCACAGCCGCATCCTGACCCCCCCACCCCCTCCCCCCACCACAGACACTTTAGGCGAGCCCCCCCAGCATCCCCCCCCCCTTCAAAACCCCCATTACCCCCCCTCAGTGGGCTCTGCTGGGGCCCCCCCTGGGTGCAGGGGGTCCAGACCTGAGGGCTGGGACCCACCCCCCACCCCCCCCCCCCCCAACTGGTGCCAAACTGGATCCATCTGGAGGGGCCAGGCCGGGGGGGGGGGGCGGGCCGCAGTGTAGCAAAAATAAGGGGGGGGGGCCCCCGAAATCACCACTGGGAAAAGCAGAGCAGCAGGTTTATGGGGTATGAGGTGATGTGGTGTGGGGAAGGAAGGGGGCGGGGGAAAGCCCCCAGCCCCAATTCCAGCCCTATTGCTGTGGGAAGGAGGGGCAGTGCAACCCCACTCCCAGCCCACCCCCCCCAGAACTACCCCCCCCCCCCAACTCACCACCACCAGGAGTGCAGGAAGCCGGGGGGCTCGCCCAGCGTGATGTTCTTCTCCCATCGGATCTGCGGAGAGGGATACGGGAAAGGGGGGGGGTCAGGCCTGACACCCCGGGGATGGGCTCAGGGAACCCCGGGGGGTGCAGAACCCCAAAGGGGGGGGCCAGGAGGTGCTGTGTTTGTGTCGTCATGTGTGTCCCCCCCCCCCCAAGTTTCTTACCTCCGACAGGAAGGTCTGGGCTGATTTTTGGGCCCCCACGTGCAGCAGGTACTCGTAGACGTAAAGCGCCAGCCTGCGGGGACGGGGATGGGGACAGGGATTTGGGGGGGGGGGGGTCATGCTTGGGCACAGCCCCCCCCCTCCAACTCCCCCCGTCCCCCTCTGTGACACACACACACACACCCCCCACCTGAAAGTGGGGACCCCCTCAGGGAGCCCTCCCGTTAAAAGCAGCGGCAAATTAAGGAGGGGGGATTCGCTGTCACATCCCTGCGAGGGATCCCCACGGTGACCCCCGCGTCCCACCGGTGACACCGGGCGCCTCTCCCACGGCAACTGCCCCCCCCCCCCCCCATCACCCCCGGGTAGCCACCCCGGGTTCCTGTCGGTGGGATGAGTCAGGGATGGGTGACACGTCCCCACGCAGGATGCGGCCGAGGGGCAAGTGCCACCCGGGGGATGTCCCCTGGACAGAGACATTTTGGGGGGGGACGACGCTGGGGACCCGTCCCCGGTGCTCCATCACCCCCCGGCAGCAGGGAACGGGACCCGTGGGGAGGACCATCGTGGGGTGCAGCCCCCCCAGCTCCGGCAGGTGCCCCCGGGTGGCCCCGAGCACCGGGACGGGCACGGCCGGGAATGTCGGGTCACGGTGTCCGGTGCCCCGGGGGGCGGGGGGAACATCCCGGGTCCAGGTACCCCGGGGGATGGCAGGGCCCGGGGGGGACACACGACATCCCGGCTCCCGGTGCCCCGGGGAACCGGCAATGCCCGGGGGGGACCATCCCGGCTCCCGGTGCCCCGGGGGATGCCGCACACCGGGGCACATCGCGGCTCCCGGTAGCCTCGCTGTGTGGATGAGCCCCGACGGCTCCCGTTGCCCCGCGGCGGCTATCGGTGCTCCCCGGCGGGGCGGGGCCGCGGTGGTCGTGTGTCCCCCCTCCCCGAAATCCTCCCCCCCCTCCTCTTTCTCCGTTCCCGTTTCCCCGGCGGCCGCCCCGGCAAACTTCCGCGCCCCCGGCCCGCGCCCGCCCCCGCCGCACTCACTTCTCGCGGGCCTGGCCGTCCGAGGGCACGCCGGAGCCTTTGCCCTTGGCGTACATGCTGGGGCGGCGGCGGGACAGCGGCTGTCAGCGGCCCCGGTCCCGGTCCCGGTTCCCCGCCGCCATCCCGGCCCCGGCCCCGGCCCCGGCGGCTCCGGCCCCGCGCCCGCGGGGGAGCTTGAAACCGCCGCGCCGGGCCGGGGTCCCCGCGCCGCCGCCGCCTCCCCCCGCGCGGCTGTTCCAGCAACGCCGCCCCCCCCCCCCCCCCCCGCCCGCGGCCGCCGCTCTTAAAAGGGCGATGGCAGCCTGGAAGAGGCGGTGGGGACAGCGTGGGGGGGGTGGAGGAAAAAAAAAAGAAGGGGGGCGCGCGCGGAGGGGAGAGGGGTGGTGGATGGGGACACGGACGCGAGGGGGTGGGCACGGAGGGGCGGTGACACAAGGGGATGGGCACGGACGCGGAGACGGGCATGAGAGGGGTGGACATGGAGGGAGGAGGAGGCTGGGGGGGTGGGCGCGAAGATGGTGGACACGGGGGGACGCGGACGCGAAGGGGGTGGGTATAGAGGGGCACTGACACGAGGGGATGGGCGCGCACACGGTGGTCGCGGAGGGACGCGGACACGAGGGGGTGGACACGGCGACACGGACGGGAGAGGGCGGACACGGACACGAGGGGGTGGACACAGATGCAAGGGGGTGGGCATATAGAGACTCGGACATGAGGGGGGACACGGACACGGGGAGAGGGGGACACACGAAGAGGCATGGGTGTGAGGCGTGGACGTACATGGACACTAACACGAGGGGATGGACTCAGACACGGTGGACACACGGACGTGGATGTGAGAGGGTGGCCACGGAGGGACTCGGACACGGAGGCGAAGGGGTGGGGCATGGAGGGACACCGACACGGAGCGGGGCAGACACGGAGGGCCATGGAGGCGTCGCCCCCTCGCAGAGCCTCGTGGGTGCCCGCACGCCCTCCCCGGGCCGCCGCGTTAATTGCACCAAACATCATTAAGCCCCTGACAACCCCCCAACCTCCCCCACCTCCCCTCCCTTGCTCCAACCCACTTCACTGGGCACCACGCTTGCCCACGCGTGCGCCCGGGGGTAGGGGGGGTGAGTGTTGAGGGTCACGCGAGGCCGTGGGGATGCTCAGCACCCCTCACTCCAACCCCAAAACCCCCCACCCCGGGCTCCCCCCCAGGCCCCAGGAAGCAGCACCAGGGGTCACAATCCCGCAGCCCCCCAGGAAAGGGCCGGGGGCGGGGTCCGGCGGTGGGTTGGGGGTGCTGAGATGGGGGGGGCTGCCCCCCCTGTCCCCCCCCCAGGCTGGCTACGCCCTGGCAGGGTGACACGGGACAACGGGACCCGCCTGTTCCTCTTCCCGCACCCCCGCCTGCGCCAGGCAGAGAGGCGGCCGGAGCGCAGGCGAGTTGGGGTGCTGGGGTGAGGGGGGGGGGGTGGAAAAAAAAAAAAAAAAAAAACAAAAAAAAAACCCCACACCCCTTTGGGTGCTGCTCTGCCCTGGGGAGAGCGGGAGCGGGGTGGGCGCCAGACTGGGCTGCAGTGGGAGGGGAAAACCAGCAGGTTCAGTGGGAATGGGGTGGCAGGGGGGGGCTGCTTAGGTGGATGTTGCTGATCTGCCCCCCCCCCCCCCCCCCCCCCGTTTCCCACCCAGGCGCCCGGCGGGGCCATGGAGTGCCCTGTGACCCCCCTGCTGCTGCTGCTGCTGCTGCTGCTGCTGCGCCCCGCGGCCCCCGCGGCTCCCTGCGTGGCCGTGCCGCCGGCTGCCCCGGCCGAGCTGGATTTGTCCAACAGCACCCAGCAATGCGCCGAGCTGGACTGGGGCCCCTTCCAGCACCAAAAACGGCTGTGGCTCAGCCGAAACGGCATCGCCGCCCTGAGCCCCTCATCCCGCGTCGGGCCTGGGCTGGAGGAACTGGACTTGTCGTACAACCGGCTGCGGGAGCTCCCGGTCGCCTTCCTGAGCCAAGCGCGGGAGTTGCGGCAGCTCCAGCTGCAGCACAACGGGCTGCGGGAGCTGCCGGGTGGTTTTTTTTGCCAACGCCACGGCTCTGCAGAGCCTGAGGTTGGAGGGGAACCCCCTGCCCGCCGTGCCCCCCACCGCCTTCCAGGCCAGCCTGCGGTTCCTGGCCGTGCCGTGCCGCTGCGACGTGGTGGGCGACGTCCTGGCACCCTGCTCCTGCTCCCGGCCCGAGTGCGCGGCGCGCCGGTGCCGCTGCCTCACGGACCACCGCGACGACTTCAACGTCACCGATTTCCACGCCCGGGAATGTCAGGGCAACGTGGGGCTGGTGGGCGGCTTGGCCGGAGCCGCCGGCGCGGTGGCCGTGGTGCTGGTGGTCGTGGCCGTGGTTTGTTACCGGCGGAGGAAAGCAGCCACCGCCGTTGCTGGCACGGGGTTGGGTAAGCGGGAATCCACCATGGGCCACGGGCAGCCCCGTTACATCAGCCGGGCCACCGAGATCGGCACCACTGAGATCGGCACCGACGATGCCACCGCTGCCGCACCAGACTACGAGAACATCTTCGTGACGCCCCGCGCCGCTCCGGCCGCCGCACGGGGCTGGACGCCGGGGTGGCAGGAGGAGCGGTACAGGTGAGGGTCCGGCGCGGGGACCGGCTGCTCGGGGCATGTCCCATCCCCTCCGCTGCTGAGTCGTACTGGCTCACGTCATCCCGTGCCATGCCGTGCTGTGCCAAGTTGTCCCGTCCCATCCCGTCCTGTCCTGTCCTTTGCCATGCCATGCCATCCCATCCCATCCCATCATCCCTTCCTATGCCATGTCATGCCACCCCATCCCTTCCCAACCCAACCAATCCCATTCCATCCCTTCCCATGCCATGCCGTGCAGTGCCTTCCCTTCCCTTCCCTTCCCTTCCCTTCCCTTCCCTTCCCTTCCCTTCCCTTCCCTTCCCTTCCCTTCCCTTCCCTTCCCTTCCCTTCCCTTCCCTTCCCTTCCCTTCCCTTCCCTTCCCTTCCCTTCCCTTCCCTTCCCTTCCCTTCCCTTCCCTTCCCTTCCCTTCCCTTTTTGTCCAGTCCCACCCAGTGCCCCCCCACCCCACCCAGTGCCACCCACGCCATCCCCACGGCCCAGGCACTGAGCCCTTTCCCCGCAACCCCAGAGCCTCCCCGTGGCATTTGCTCCCCAATCCCGCCCCCCCCCAAACCTGCCCCATCCCCTGGGCACGGTGGGGCAGGTGCCACCCCCCTGTCCCCCCCTCAGCCCCCAGGTCCCAGTGGATGACGATTATTTCCTGGAGAGCGAAGCCACCCCCAGGGACCAGCCCATCTACGCCAACACGCAGAGCTCCAGTGAGGACAACGTCTACATCATCCCCAACCAGTGAGGGGCCGGGGGGTTGGGGGGGGGGGCTCCCACCAATGCTTCTCCCCAGGGCTTTCCCTGGTGGCCCCCCCCCAGCCCAGAGGGGATGGGGATGGGCGCTCCCCATGGATGAAGGCTCTTCCCACAGCTGGGCCGAGCACACGCATGGTCCCCACACAAGCATCCTGCCAGGGACGCCTTTCTCAGGGAGGAGAGGGGGGGTTGTTATTTTTAATTCCCTTCCCCCCCCCCCCCCCCCCAGCCCCCCTCCTTCGCCCCAGTTCCCACCGCAGGGCGAGGGCTGAGCACTGGCACTTCCTCCCGGGGCCGGTGGCCACCGACCGCAGGGACGCTTCGGCGCAGCATCCGCCGGCAGCCGGCACGCCAGAGCCTTCCCGGCTGGGGACACGTGTGGGGGCCTCCCTCCCCCCCTCCGGGCCCATCTGGCAAAGCAGGGGGCTGAGGGGGGGGCGACCTCTTCCCCTTTCGGCTGCCAATGGAGAGTGTCGGGGTGCACGTGCGCTCGGGGACACGCTGGCCGTTGGGGACATCCAGGCACCGGGACCAACCCTGCTGTCACCTGAACCCCACTCCCCCTTTTCCTGCTAAATCTGCCAGTTTGGGGAATGGAGCAAAAGTCCCTTTTTTTTTTTTTTTTTTTTTTTTTTTTTTTTTTAATGCTCCCTACATGATCCTTGAGCTGCCAGGCTGTGCGCCCCAAGCGGGCTGGCAACCTGGGGACATGGGGTCCCCATGGCTTGTCTGGGTGTCACCCCTGGCTTTGTGATGCTCCACTATGCCCCATTAAATGGCTTAATTATCTTAAATTAGTTGTGTAGCTCATGCTGGGAGCCCTGGGCAGGACATGGGGTGGCTGGTGCTGTTCCCAGCTGGATCTGTCCCTCTGGCAGCAGCTGGGTGGCACCAGTCGAGCGGGGCCGTGGTTCGTTATCTGTTAATGACACTGACAGCCCCAATTAAAGGGTCTCGGTAGCACAGGGGAGGCTGGAAACATGAACCTGAAGGAGCTTCTTGAGGCTGGAGGTCCCTGGGGGAAGTGCCTGGAGCTCCCAAAGCCCATGTCCCCAGAAGAGGGGTCCCAAGGGACCAGGACCCTCAAGGATGGGTCCCCAGAGCCCGTGTCATTTTGGCTCAGGTCCCCAGGGTGGAGGTTGCTGAAGCCCAGGTCCCTCGAGTCCATGTCCCCAGAGTGGATGTCCCCATAGCTTGTGTCCCTCAAGTCCTGGTCCCCAAAAACCCCATCTCCAGAGTGGATGTCCCCGTATCCCGTGTCCCTCAAGCCCAGGTCCCCACTGGGAGCTGATGAGGGGCCAAGCAGCCCAGGACACCCCCGGGATGTGCTGGAAGAGGGTACAGAGAGGAGCTGTGACCAGCAAAGCCACCCCATCCAGCTGTGCCGAGTCCCTTGGGGGACACAATGTGTGTCACCGACCTCCGTGGTGGCAGAGCTCGGGGGAGCCGTGGTCTCCCCCACCCCTTGGTTCCCACAGAGTCCCACGGCTGGAGGTCCCTGGAAATCGGGCAGCGGCCGCAACCCAGCTGGCCGTCCCACCTGGGGTGGGGGGGTCAAGGCTGCACCCAGCACCCAACTCAAGGACACAAACAACTCAAAGGTCTCTGGGAGCATCGCCCAGGCATTACTCACCTGCTGGCGGGGCGGGGATGGGGCTGGCCCGGGCCTGGAAAGCCATAAGGATTTACCAGTAAATCCATATGGCATCAGCTCCCAGGCGGTCACTTGGGGAAGAGGGGGCTGAGGGTCCCCGGCTGCGGGACCCCCGGCTGAAGGTGACCTGCTGTGGGGCTTCGGTCAGAGACCCCCAGCCAGTTGTGTGAGAGGAGCAGCCAGCACCCATGTTCCCATCACTTTATTTATATACATCATTATATTTTTTCTGTTTTATAGAAATATATAAAATACAAATACACACATGTACAAAAAAAATAAACAAACAATAAAACACTTTTCCCAAAAAGGTATTTTGCTATAAAATACAATAAATTAACAATAAATAAGAGGATTGTATAAATAAGTCTCTAAGCGGAGAAGAAATGATGCTCAGATGTGGGGTGGGCTGCATCCACCCTGGGGACAGACCTGCCCCCTGCCCATTTGGGCTCTCTTAGGTGGGAAGGATCCACCTCCTGAAAGAAATACAGTTTTAAATAAGATAAAAGAGGGGGGAATAAGTTACTGTGGCCTGTGGAGGGGGGTTCACAACCAGAGACCCTGGGGCTGAGCTGGATGGCAGAGCCAGGGCCGGTGTGGAAGCATTTCATGCCGCGGGGTCTGGTTTTTGGGGTGCCGGGGCTGCCGGGAGGTGGGCAGGCTCTGCCCCATCCGGGCGGTGACGGGTCCCAGTCCGAGCTGGAGGCGATGCCATCAGGCACAGTGGCACTTGGTGACCAGCATGTCCTCGAAGAGGGTGGACACCAGCCTGCCCTCGCTGTCGTAGTGCATCAGCACCATGGGGTCGTAGCCGGCGGGGACGCAGCAGGGCGGCGGGGTGGCTTTGGAGAGGGAGTGCATGCGGGCCTTGATCTGGGCGTGCATGCTGGCTGGCTTGTAGTTGTGGGGACAGGAACCCTCGCAGAACCTCATGTAGTAGCTGTTGGGGGCAATGACCCAGTCCGACCAGCCGATGTCCTGGAAGGAGACCTTGAGCGACTTGAGGCAACACTTCCCATCGCTCTTCCCGCACTCCTCCTCCAGCCCCCGGGCTCTCCTGGCCCCCCGACCTGTGGTCTCATGGGTTTCCACCTCCAACACCAGCGTCTCGCCCCCTGAGGTGGCCAGCAAGGCTGAGACATTGGCTGTGAAGGCCAGCTCCAGGAGCAGCGTGTCCTCAGGACCGGCAGCCCAGGGCTGGACGGCCACCGTGAGGTCCAGGCTCGTGGCGTCACGGTCCAGCTCTTGGCTACTCAGGAGCCGGGGGGTCCCGTGAGCCCCCTCCAGAGTATAGATGCTGACCCGGGGAGGCACTGAGGCGTCGAGAGGGGACATGCCGGGGGATTCCAGCGGCTGCTTAAAGAGTTTCAGCTCTGCCTGCACCACCCGGAGCTGCCGATGGAAAGTCTCGGTGCGGGAGAGGAGGAGATGGTAACGGTAGGGAGCACGGGGGTCCTGGTCTCCCAGGGGGTCTGGGTGTCCTGGGGGGTCCTGGTGTCCCCCGGGGGTGTCCAGCCAGTGCAGCACTGCAGGGACAGAGAGGACAGCTGATGTAACAGCTGGTGATCCACTCCGCCAGCCAAGGCTCGTGACCAGCTCCTGTGCGCAGCCAAACCGCCCCCTCCGGGGAATCACCCAAATCCCGAGGGATGCTGAGGCCAAGGGAAATTCGGTCCCATCCTCATTCCCGGATCACTCAGGACCCACCGTCTCCAGGGACTTTCCTGAGGGTCTCGCTGAGGGGTGGCAGCTGGTGCCAGAGCAGGTACCCCAGGACTCATTGGAGTGACCCCCACCCCATGCTCTGGCTGACCCCCCCCCCAGCCCAAGTGGCAGGAGCTGAATATTTCCCTAAATCACCCCAGATCCAGATAAAACCCCAAAGTGGGGCTCAAGCTGGGGCTCGAGGGACAGCACCTCCCTGCCTCCCCTCTGCTCACCCCCGAGCCATCTCAAACCCACGGCACCCACGGCAGCTGCTGCGCCGCTGATCAAAGCTTTCATCCCAAATTTCCTGGGTTTTGTGGTTTTAAGCGAAACAGCTCAAAGAGTGGCTCCTCCCCACCGCCAGGGCAAGGGAAGCAGCCGGGATAAGGATGACCGCGGCCACCGGGATTCATGCCCGGTCATGTCCCGGCACATGCCGAGGCAGCCGGGCTGACATGCCTGAGCGGGGACACGCTGGGGGGCACACGCGTGTGTGTGCCCAGGAGGGACGAGGGTCGTGGGATGTACGTGGAGCCACTTACGCGTGGGGGTCAGGCGATGCAGCCGCCTGGTCCCGGGCATGGCTCCCTCCTCCTCCTCCTCCTCTTCCTCCCGGCTCCGGTTCCCCATCAGCTCGGCCACTTTCTGCCGGTACAGCTGCTGCGCTCGCCGGATGCTCTCCTGGTCCAGCTGCTGCAGGATCACGGGGGGAGCAGGCATCCCCAACCGCTCCAGGATCCCCGTTTTGATGGCTTCCAGCTGGAGCCTGTCCTCGCCCCACGCGGGGGGCCTCAGCTCCGCGCCGGCGAGAAGCAGCAGGAGCAGGAGGCAGGTGAAGGTGGCCCTGACACCCCACAGCACCCTCGGCATCGTGCAGGCAGCCGGCGGGCCCAGGGGGGGATTTATTTACAAAACCTCTCACGCAAAGGCTGGATGTGCAGCTTCCGGCGATGCTGCCAGGGGAATGAATGAAGTGGACCAGACCTGACTTTATAGGAGCCGAACTTTGCCCGCCCTCCGTCCCCCCCTCCCAGTCCCAGGCTGCCGGCGGGTGACGCCGGAGTAAACACCCAGCAGGAATCTCTCCTCTCCGCCTGGGATTTCATATGGGAGCTCTAACAGCGCTTTGCACACTGGTGTGCAGCTGTGGAGATGAAAAATATGTAATACTTTTCCCCAAACACAAACGTTGCCCTTCCACCTCCCGTTTTCCCTGCGAATCGCCATGCCAGCTCATGCCCAGGGGGGATCCCCCTCACCTCCCCTGCCCCGTTGGCAAGGGGCAAGCGGCTGTGGGCAACCTCCGATGGCCTCGGAGGTGGCAGAGCAGGTGGCGGGGGGTGATGGAGAGAGGATGATGTGCACGCAGGCGAGTATCATGGCACGGCTCATCCATCCCTGCATCCTTGGCTGCCTCCTTTGTCCTTCACCTCGCGCCGGTCCCCATCGGCACACGGGTCCCTGTTCTCGCGCGGGGCTGAGCCGCGCACGCAGCCCATTCCCTATAACTCCTCAGAAGCAGAAGCAGAGCAGGGAAGCGACGGCCGGGCAGCCCGGCTCACGCCGGCACGTGCACGGAGGAGGGAGGGGACCAGCGTTGGACCTTGTCCCACCAAACTGGGTGACAACACCGCAGCCCGGTTTGCGGCAGCGGCTCCTCCGTGCAGCCAGGGGATGGCTCTGCCTCAGGTCTGGTCCCTCCTGAAGCAACGGCAGCCGGGGTTACATCATCCCTGGGCAGCCCGAGAGTGGTTGGGATGGAGTTGGGCACGCCGGGGTGACACGGATCCAGTGGGGCCACGTGTGGGTGGGACAGGACGTGCCAGACTGGGGCTGCCTGTGCACCGGGGAAGAGAAAACCCACAGTGGGAAGAAGCCACCGAGGCGGGCATGGGACCACCCATCTCTCGCCTTCTCCTAAGGGATGCTTTGACCAAAAAAACACGAGCAGAGGGATGAGAAACCCTGGATCGGACAAGATAAGGGACAGGTCCCCTCCGGCGCCGAGCGGGGCAGTTCCCAAATGTCATGACGTTGAGCCAAGCGCCTGGTCTTTAACTGCGCTCCCGCCATGGGATGAACGTGCTTACAGTAATCCCGTGATTTATGGCTGCTTATCCTCTGCTCCTCCTCGGGAGCCGGCTCCAGCCTTACTCCTGCCTTTCTCACCCAGTTTCTCAAGGGGTTACCTGAGGCAAAACCAAGCCCAAACGTTTCACGCTAAAGCACGTGAAAGGGGAAGTTTGTCAGCACGAGCAGTGTCATGTGGAGGGGATTGCCCCGGCTCCAGCTCCTCTGCCGAGCTCTGGATCCATCTTTGCATGATGAGGATGAGGAGGGGGCAGGAGGAGCCCACCAAGAGACCTCGCACCGTTTCACGCTGCCTTTCTCTGCCCGGAGCCTCCAGCTTGGAAAGAAACCCCATGTGTGGCTCACACGGAAACCTCAGGGCCAGGTTTATCTTGTGTTTCGTCCCATGCAGAGTTGAGCTCTGTCCTGCTGTGGCCACGGGTGGCACGTCACCCGTCCCTCCAGCAGCAGGGCAGGGGATGTGCTCGGATGAGCCCTCCCGGAGCATCTCCCTGTGGGGAGCTGGTCCAGGCGCTGGTTCCTCAGCGGGTCAATCCTTAAGGAGCTCCCAGGCTCTCCAAGCCCTGCTGTGATCCCCTCTCCTGAGGATTTTGTTAGCTGGGGTGATTGTGACCCTTCAGCCCCCCTCAATTCAAGGAGGAAGGGAGAGGGAGCATCACTCCAGGAGGACCACAAACCTGTGGGTGACACCCCAGGGCAGAACCGCCACGCCACCCCCTCCACCCCGAGCATCCCCAGGTCCCTGACCGGCACCAGCACCCTCCACCACCTGCAAGGTGCCAAACGTGCTCATCCAAAACCGAATCGGAGCGGCTCAGCATGTCCAGGCGCAGGAAGAGGCCCCGACCCACCAGCAATCGCACTGCCCGGCCCTTGAGCAAGACCCATCAAACCCTTAAATCCTGAAGTTCTGCTTTTGCAACGAATTTTCTAACCGTAGGTGCGTTGCGTGGTACAAGCCCCGTCCACGAGTGACGCACAGTGGCTGGCGCTCAGAGACTATCAAAGTTTGCCGAAGCCGGATGTTTTCCCCCTGAAAGGCGCCAGCCGTGGAAGTCAGAGATTTACAGTCCAGCAACAGCCATAAAACTTGTGTTTTAAGAGCAGCAGTTGTGGATGCCGCGCGACCTGTTATGAAATGTCCCGGAGTGTCCTCACCAGCCTGCAAGATGCGATTGCACAGTCCCTGGCCCTGTGCATAAACAGCATCCCACGTTTCCTCTGGTCCTTCCTGGGCCGTTTGCACGTTGTCTTTTGCATCAGAAGATCCAATTTATCAAACGCCTCTTCCCAGCAGGATGCGAGTTCCTCTCTGGTTAACGCATCCTCTGAGCATCCCTCAGCAAGGTACAACTGCAGCGCAGCTCTCACCTGCCTGGCATGGATCTAGAGCAGTTATTAATAGGAGCTTGGCCACGGGATTGCTGGTGGCCGAGGACTCCCAGACCTTGAAGGGGCTGAAACAGGAGCTGAGGATGAGGAAAAGCTGATGCCCTGGTGCTGTTACTCCTCCGCACGCAGCAAGCAGGAGAGAAACTGGGAGTTTTGGTGATTAAAGCATCACGTGGAGGCCAGTGGCTGGAAAGGCTGCTAGAAAGTCCAGGAAAAGCTCAGAGCGTGCACTGCTGAGCCTGAAAAGATGTAAATAATCTTTTTGCCTTCTCTCCATCTCTAGACAAGAGGTGAGAGGCTGGGAGCATGGTGGGGGACACGGCAGATGCTTGCTGCCATCCCCAGAGCCACCCGCAGCTCCCAGCTGAGCCAGCACCGGGGAAAAAAAGCTATGTTGCAAATGCTGAGATTAAATGCCAAAAGAAACAAGAAGGGGAACGTGAACATTAGTCATTTCCCCACAAAACACAACCCGGCTGCAGCCCTGAACTTGAACCAGCTGGAGCAGGGCTCCGGGCAGGATTGGAGAAGCTCCCAGCACCGTGCTGGACTGCAGGACAAGCCCCGAACCAGCCACGTGCAACTGGAGCTTCGTGGCTCCTCGAATGCAGTTGCTTCCCCAGCTTGATGCAATTGTGGTCAGGGGGCCAGCCCCGCTCTGCTCCCCCCACAGCTCCCACCAGCCCGGGTGGTGGGATGCTGGTGGGGGCGAGCACCAACAAGGGGGCTCTGGAGGGCTTCGATTCCCCAGAAAGCACAAAACTTCCCCGTGGCTGCTCACCCACGCACGCTTGCAGAAACCTCGGTTATTTTTGCAGCGCTCGTTATCGGAAGCGGCGAGAGGGGAAGTGCTGCCCTCCAGATTTTAGGTCTATCCGTTCCTGGCGGCTGTTGAGCAAGTGGCTCCCAAAAAGGTGCTGAGAGCCTCTGACAACAGCAAGAGCCACCCAAGAGCGGGTGTGCATCGGCCCCAGGACCGAGGGAGCGAGGTTACAGCACCCCACCATCCAGAGCATCCCGCTGCAAGGCAAACAGCATTGGACTGGGTGCTCCCCATGACCTGTGGGACCCCCTGTGGTCCCCAAAACCACTCTGGTTGAACAAGTCAGATGCTGGTGAGGTGATATTTCCTGAAAACTACTGCAAGCGAGGTAAATAATATTTTCCCATGGTGTATTTTTCAGCGAAGGGCTAAGAAAGGAAGAGCAGCACAGCTTCCCGTATCTGCTGCCACCATGGGAAGCTCCAACAAGCTCTTAGGTCTTGGTCTCTAGGGAAGTTGTTGGCTGGAGGCAGATTCAGCACTTCCAGGAGTAATTTGGGGTGAAAAAACCCTCGATGAAGGGGAGGAACCCAGCCGGCCTCTGAGGTGATCCATCGGTCACATCACGGACGGGGTTTGTTCCATCCCATCTCATTTCAGGTCTGGGAATGGGTGCAGAGGATGGGAGATGAGGGTTCTCCCTCTGCTGCCAGCGTGGGATGTTTGGGAAGCTGCATCCCGTGTTTTCCCAGCGTCGGCCGCTGTCATGATGAATCGGCAGAGTGGAAGCTGTCTTGACCTTTAGACGTTTCTAAATAAAAGACAAACAGGATGGGTCAGGTGAGCAAAAATCAGCTCTTGCCCCGTCACGGTGGGAATCACATTTTTCTGCCTTTGCGGCAAGTTTACAGCATCTGCCAAAAATGAGACTTCTGCTCCACTTGGACAAAGACATTTCTGCCTTGACTGCACCCGCGGTCAACGATTAACTTGAATTCCCAGCCCCCTCAGCCCAGGCAGTGCAGGAAATTACTCCAATCCAACCGCTAAAAATGGAAATTTTGTTTGAGGGATCCTCCCTTGCTGCCTCAACCACCTTCCTTACAGCGATGCTTTCGGCACGAGGAAGTTCTCCGCTCGCAGCGAGCATCTTTCCTGGAACACGCTCCCCGGACAGACGGATTTACAGGTTGTCTCTGTCCTCTGGCTAGGATGCTTTACAGCTTGCAGCGGTATGTCCCCTTCGGCAGACATCAATATGGTGTAATGCCTTGAGAGCATCATCTGCACGAGCAGCAGGCAACAAGCTCAGCCTGGGCAGGATCGAAGTGACGGTTACTGAGAAGAAGCTTCTCCATGGTGTGAGCCTCTGTCTGTTCAGAGGGGGACACGTCTCGCCCCTCTGACGTGCCAAAAGAGCCCTTCACTTCCATTTTCAGTTTAGCTCCCCCCAGGAACCCCCCGGTCGAGGCTGTCGGGAGCATCCTGCTCCCTGGGGACGGCAGCGCTGGGCCCAGAAGCGAAGCACAAGGCAGCGGCAGAGCGAAAGCTGCAGCTCTAACCGGGGGCCTGCCCTCCTGCAGGCACTGAGCCGCGCTCAGGAGGGACCCAGATGAGCAATAAA